GGGATTTGACCGTCACCCTTGATCTACTCTTATCTGACCGAACAGTGGGATTTGACCGTCACCCTTGAGCTACTCTTATCTGACCGAACAGTGGGATTTGACCGTCACTCTTGAGCTACTCTTATCTGACCGAACAGTGGGACTTGACCGTCACCCTTGAGCTACTTTTATCTGACCGAACAGTGGGACTTGACCGTCACCCTTGAGCTGCTCTTATCTGACCGAACAGTGGGATTTGACCGTCACCCTTGAGCTACTCCTATCTGACCGAACAGTGGGACTTGACCGTCACCCTTGAGCTGCTCTTATCTGACTGAGCAGTGGAACAATAACCCGCTAATCAATATACCATGTATGGTCTCAGAGTTTTAGAAAGTGAAACACTAATGAGAGAAGTGTTTTTTTAACCATAGACACGCCTTCTTTACAGGTCAGTTAACATTTTCATATAATAAAAACCTTAATGAAACTTAATTTACTGCGTTGAGTGTAACTCATGAAAAGACACGTTCTACAACGTAGCCATGATATTTCAGAATACATAAAAGGCTATATTTCCAGGTAACAATGTTACAATTCCATTGACTAATGGATCAACTTACCTCAATAAGCTTAGGAGAGGAAGCAGTCCAGTCATTAAAGTTGGTATCACCCAGATAATAGTACTTTGCAGCTGAAATCACTGTTACTAGGTCGTCATCATACTTAAAGTGAGGTTTTAATAGAAATTCTATAATATATCTGGAAGAATTTTGTTTCCGAACTTCTTCCAAGAGACCTGAATGGAAAAAGGAAATAAAGTACAGCTTTAAGTTGCATTATCTTATACATTATCTTATTAATACTTCGTTGCATTAATATCAAACTGTCTACCCAGCACGGCAGTAGAAGCAGAACTGGGGTATTTTCAGATCAAACTGATTTTCTCTGATAGAAACACCCCGCGAATAACAGCAGGTTCGGATCAGTAAGCGATTTAACATGAACTTCTCGAGTGAGAGTATTCGACTGAGTTTTTGGAGTTAGTGTGGAAACAGTGGAAATATGAGAATCTGAACACTTTGAATAAAAGGAACAACATTTTCGTTTATTACAATACAAAAAACGCTGAAAATAGAGCGTGTACCCACCCACGTGCGACGACGGACAGTCCGCACTCCGAGTTATGCGACTGTTAGCACTGAAGTTGTCCATCACGCGAGACAGGTCACCTCAATACTAAAATATTGAGCTAACTTTGCAAAGGTCTTCGTTCTGTAAAACTTGGAGAGAAAATCGATCCAAGAAAAAGTGCCTGGATTTTAAACAACAACTTTCTTTCTTTGTCTAGAATCACATTGTGACTGTTTTCTGACAACATTGGTCATCTATCAGATTCAATAGACGTCATACTTCGGCCAGTAAAAGATATTCCACATCTAACTGAAGCAACCCAAGCTCAAGATATATTGAAATATTCCTGCAGGCAGAAGACGTCATTTAACTAAATAATAACTGGTTAAGGCGAGTAGAATCTATATAAATATAATAGTACTGTCTGTTATACGTCCATATAACTACTTCGCCGGGTGTGGATGGATCCTTACTAAAATTGGTATGGAGGTTAATTAGGTCCATGCGGAGTTACATACACATTTTCAGTTTTGCGTTTTTGGGTGTTTATGGACGTTTTTGAGTTGTTTACTCCTAACTCGCTCCCTGTAGATGGATCTTCAATAAATTTGGTATGGAGGTTTATTGGGTCCATGCGGGGTTACATACACATTTTCAGTTTTGCGTTTTACAGTTTTTATGAGCGTTTTGCATTTTTTTTTTTTTACAATGACATATAAGAAAAGCAACTTTTCATTTCCTAGGATAACCTTTAATTAATCATGAATTAACATAACTTCCAGCTATTGGGGTACGGGTACTCCAGCTATTGGGGGACGGGTACTCCAGCTATTGGGGACGGATACTCCAGCTAGTAAGTCATCATTACAGTGCGAAAACCAAACAAGCGATAATTGGAAAACAAATTATAAAGGATAGATAATATGATATGTCTGCATACCACATGTTATCCAAATTACGTTGTAATAACTAATACAACCTTAGAAGCATAATAATAGTGTGTACGTATAATCTAATTGTTACGATTCGTCACTTGGTGTTCCTTCAAGCTCAATTCTTTTTTTCACCATTTGTAAGGTACTTTTTATAATAATAATTCCCTTTCAATAATTCATTACGTTTTTTCAACTATTTTTAAACTACTTCTATAAATAACAATCTAATCTGAATAGCTTATTCGTAGAATCAGACTTATCATTGCTAATTTCAACAATGTTTAAAGTATTTCTAAATACAATAATGTAATTCGAATAAATTGTTTCTAGAAACTGACCTATCAATATTGTTTTCAGACATTTTAAGCTCGTTATAAAAACAATAATATAATACGATACGCTTACTGTAATATTTCAGTGAACCTTCATTCCCCGTAACGCTAGATATTAGAGGAACTTTGTGTGCACGGCCCTGTTCGTAAGCTTCTTTAGGATGATGTACGAGGAAGGCCTCGTCAGCGTTCTTTTCAATGGTTGGGAGGAAAGTTACCTGTTGGAAATAAATATCTCTCAATCCCACAAACAAACAAAGTTTATTCATTTTTCACAGAGATATATGATCTTTAGACAAACTTTTAAAAGTAAAATGCATAATGTGCAAACTAAAAACGAATTCAATAAGCAATAATAGAGCAATGTTTCTTATATTTAAATAAAATACAATAACCGTTGTGGTTTTTAACCAAATCTCTGGAAATATTAATTTCGCTGTTGTTTTTTTATCTTTTAAAGTATTATAGAATCCACCTATGAACCCAACACACAACAATAGAACAAATCTGGTTTGGTTGTTGTTAAGCACAAAGCTAAACAATGGACCATTTGACTCTGCACAATACTGCTATCGAAACCCAATTTTTAGCGCAGTAAGTTTTCAGACTTACTGCTGACCCATTGGTTTTCATTACTAAATAATTATTACATTTGAGTTCTGAGCTATGTAGCTAGTTATTACTAATTATCCAAGGAAATCGAGCAAGGTTCAGCTTTTCTTACGTTCTGGATCTGAACTTGGCTTGTTACCAGCTGCTGAGCTGTCTTGTCCTGTAAACAATCCACCATCATTTGATTATCATCCACTGGACACTGAAAATAACGAGCTACCTTCACTGCATACTCTCGAGAACCGTTAATCAATGCCCAAGGTGCGAACCCTGATCCACTCGATGTTATAGCTCTGTGAAAATAACCTATTTGAAAAAAATGAGGAAAAAGAAATGATGCTGAACCAAATGGTGAAGAAATTACATTAATATCTAATCCTAAACAAGTAAGAAATATCATATTCATAAATGAATGAATTACGCTAATATCTGATCCTAAAGAAGTAATAAATACCATATTTATGAAGGAATTACTCTAATATCTAATCCCAAAGAAGCAATAAATACCATATTTATGAAGGAATTACGCAAATATCTAATCCTAAATAAGTAAGAAATACCATATTTATGAGAGAAGTACACTAATATCTAATCCTAAACAAGTAAGAAATATCATATTTATGAAGGAATTACACTAATATCTAATCCTAAAGAAGTATGAAGTATTATATTTATGAAAGAATTACACTAATATCTAATCCTAAACAAGTAATAAATATTATATTTACTATCTCTAATTAGACACATATTTGTTTTGTAATTAATTTTATAAAATTAATAAAACAAGCTGACGTTTTCGATCAAACCGAAACCAAATTTCGAAGTGAGAAACGAGGGAACCTGAACAATCAATAAATAAAAATGTTATTCTCATCGTGATTTTATATACATGAACAACAAGTGTGTCTTTTGATCTGATTATCTATCTGTTGTTATTATTACAATACTATTCAGCTTTAGACAGGTAATTAGTTTCATATTTACATTTATATGTATTTATATTACAAAATACCTTACTGTAATGTACTAATGAGTTTATACGTATATGTATATTTACATTTATATGTATATATATTACAAAATACCTTACTGTAATGTACTAATGAGTTTATACGTATATGTATATTTACATTTATATGTATATATATTACAAAATACCTTACTGTAATGTACTAATGAGTTTATACGTATATGTATATTTACATTTATATGTATTTATATTACAAAATACCTTACTGTAATGTACTAATGAGTTTATACGTATATGTATTTACTTGTATTTACTGTTCCAATACGGCATGTACTAAGAAGATTGCTCCAGATTTCCACGCAAAGAATAACGAGTGTAATGCTGATAGACTAAAGAGAAGGCAACTAATCAACAGCCCTCACCGCCTACTCTAGGGCTATTCATATCTGGTCAAACATTGGGATTGGACTGTCACTCTTGTAGCTCACCCCTGATTCCAAAGTGCGGAGCTAAGTGTTGTGGCAACGGGGCACAAACCACGTATTCTTTGATTCACAATTCGGGTACTTTAACCACTTAGCCACACCCACGTAGTACGAAAATTAACAATTTTTTCTGTGTTTTTATATTCTTATTCACTCACATGCATCTCAGTTTGGTTGTTTTTAATTAAGTCTTGATTAATATTATTGGTTCTTAAATGCTCGAATGTCTGAGATTCTAGAAATAATTACGGCATAAACAGAACAATTTAGGGATTTTATTATGGTATATAACATTTTAATACATAAACGGCACATACTGTTTATGGGTCATTCATACCACTGATACCTATTTTATCTTAAACTAACACATTTACATACAATTTCAAATAATGCTTTTGTTCCTGGTTTCTATCTCAAATACCTTGTCCAGGTATAATCTTTCCTACCTTTTGTTAATTCTGAGACCATGTGAAACGACACTGAAGCTGCGCCAGCATCATGACCGTAAATGGTGACTTTGTTGGGGTCTCCACCGAACTTGGCGATATTTTCTTTTACCCATTTTAAAGCTAAAAATTGATCCTTAAGTCCGTTATTTCCAGGAGCTTCGTCATCGTCGGTGCTGAGAAATCCTGGAAAATGAACAGCATTTAATATTTCCCGTCTTGTATGCACTAAACATAAGAGAACAAACTGGAATGTACCCGAAATTATATAACATATTTGTTTTCATGTTAAAAAATAAAAGGTTTAAATAAACAACCTACTGATGAACTTAGCTACCAAAGCTTCAAGTTTTGATGCAGGAAGCTGAAGAACGAAATATACCCAAACGCTTCGATTTGGTTATTTAGTTAATAATCATAAGCAACGTTATGTACATTTGAAATAAATATTTCACGGGTTTGTAACAATCACGTGATATAAAAATATTTGAAAAACAGCAACAGTGTAATGTATACGTCACTATTGTGTAACCAATTAACAATGTCTACTACTAAACTGGCGTTAAATGAAAAAAAATGTCGAAATACTTTGGCCTTGTTTCTATGACGACGAAAATATAATCATTTAGGAGAATATTCTTTTCACGTGCAGGAGAATTTGCTGTTGAAAAGTCACTCGAGGGCTATCTGCACTAATTTTTATTTAATAGACTAGAGAGAAGACGGCTAGTCAATAACACCCACCGTCAACTCTTTTACCAACGAATAGTGGGATTGACCGTCACGCTATAACATTCTCACGGCTGAAAGGGCGAGGATGTTCGGTGAAGGGATTCGAACTTGGGACCCACAGATTGCGAGCCAAGTGTCCTAATCAGCAGGTCATTGTTCTATTAGTTTTATGTTGTTGTTATTTTCTGAGTGCAAAGCTATTCAATAGGCTAGCAGTACTCTGTCCACCGCCATGAATCGAATCACAGATTTTAGTACTGTAAACTTACAACTGGTGGACGTGTTAGAGAAATCCTAGATTTATTATGGAGAATATTCTTTAATTTAGAATAAATGTCTTCTTACAACGTGCGACATTAGAAGAAGAATGCTAAGAAAAGTGTAAACGCAAGAACCGAAATTTTCCTTTATGTAAAATTGGGAATTACATTCCACATAAGAGAGGAATACCCTTATACAGGGACAATCCTTTCAGTAAAAATGAGAATTCCTTTTACTTTTGCAGATAATTCTTGTAATGTTAGAGACAAGTTTTATCCACATAGAAAGATAATTCATCGACATAAAAAGAAAATCGCATCAGTATAGGAAGGTTTGTTTGTTTTGAATTTCGCGCAAAGCTGCACGAGGGCTATCTGCGCTAGCCGTCCCTAATTTAGCAGTGTAAGACTAGTGGGAAGGGAGCTAGTCATCACCACCCACCGCCAACTCTTGGGCTACTCTTTTACCAACGAATAGTGGGATTGACCGTCACATTATAACGCCCCAACGGCTGAAAGGGCGAGCATGTTTGGTGTGACGGGGATTCGAACCCGCGACCCTCAGATTGCGAGTCGAGCGCCCTAACCACCTGGCCATGCCAGGCCCATATAGGAAGGAAATCCAGTCAATATAGGAGAGGAATCCATTTAATATAGTAGGAAAAAATCCCGTTAATATGGGATACGATCTCTACGATAACATATTATTTGAAAATTAGACTAAAAGTCATTATTTATAAACATTTTCTACTACTTCCCAATAAAATAATTGATGGTAATATTTTGAATTATTTTAAATTTGTTTGAGAATGTTCAAAACACATATCGAAGTGTACAAGATACACACAATACTCCAGAATACACCCAAATAATTCTTTAAAACAAGAAACCCAACCTGAACTTTGAACTTAAAGTAAACGATAATTTCCTAACACATAAGGTTACCAAATAGCAGTAACTGTCAAATATTAAACTTAGTCAAAAGGACACTTTTTTAGTTTAAAGCAAAACCTGAGTATTAGCTGGCTTAACAACAATCAAAAACTTTTAAGTGACAAAACATGGTAACATATACAAATCCCTGGTACTTACCTAAAATTCCCAACCTGTAATTAACGACCACTAGCACCATTGATTTGTCCAAAAGAAATTGGGGCCCAACCTCATCTTTGCCCCCATTTTGAAATTCTCCCCCGTGGACGTACACAAGAACAGGAATACTCTTGGTGTTTGAGTTAAGGTTTGCTGGATCCTATGATAAAAATATATATTATTCATAATTAATAATAATAGATATAATTCGGTATTTGAATAATAAACCAAAGAACCGTTCAATATCACAGTAATAACATAGCAACTTTTTTCTTAATAAGATTGGGCGTGGTCTAATGGTTGATGTGCCGAAATGTTAATGGTAGGGTCCAGGGACTGCAAAAAATTGCCCTCTGCACTTTGGGGCCATGAATTCATTATAGGAGGGACAGTAAAATCTCAATATTCGTTTAGAGTATCCCAAAAGTTAAAGAAGGATGCTGTTGACTAGCTGTCTTTCCTTTTGTTCAAAATTAGGGAATGCTAGCGTAAGCACCCCTTTTCTAGCATTGTGCAAATATCCGAAAAACAAAAATTCTTAATATATTTTCCTAACATTACAATTTCCCTTTGCACGAATAGCAACTTTAGTGGCCTCTGCTTAATTAATACAATCAATATTTCAAACTTCTACTGAAGCGCTTAACTTGCACAGATATATTAATAATCAATGTAAAGCGTTGGTCCATGTTCAAAGAAATAACAAATGAAAAATTATGAAGTTAAAAATGTAATACGTCTACTGTAAAGGTTATGGCTTGTTTGTACGAATATTCGCGCATGTCCACACAAGGGTATCTGCGATAGCTGCTGCTAATTTTGAATTTATAGAAAATAGGAGATGGATGCTAGTCAATTGGGCCCACCATTATCTTTAGAAATACTTTAATCCAATAAGGGTATTTGACTATCTCACTTACAAAACACTCATCGAACAAGGGGATTTGACTCACTTACAAAACATCCATCGAACAAGGAAATTTGACTATCTCACTTACAAAACATCCATCGAACAAAGAAATTTGACTATCTCACTTACAAAACATCCATCGAACAACGGGATTTGACTATCTCACTTACAAAACACCCATCGAACAAGGAGATTTGACTATCTCACTTACAAAACACCCATCGAACAAGGAGATTTGACTATCTCACTTACAAAACACCCATCGAACAAGGAGATTTGACTATCTCACTTACAAAACACCCATCGAACAAGGAGATTTGACTATCTCACTTACAAAACACCCATAGAACAAGGATATTTGACTATCTCACTTACAAAACACCCATCGAACAAGGAGATTTGACTATCTCACTTACAAAACACCCATCGAACAAGGAGATTTGACCATCTCACTTACAAATCGCCCATCGAACAAGATAAGAGATAAGCAGTGGAAGTGTTAAGAGATAAGCAATGAAAGTATTAAGGGATTCCACTTCTATACATTTTTCTTAGTCTTCATCAAGTTGACGCTATCGGTTGGTTAATTCTGTTCACTCACACACACACTGGTTGTTAAATATTTAAATTTCTCGAGTTTATCTTTTGTGTATGAATTGTTGGAAACGCATAATTACTTGATTGTTTGTAAATTAGAAACAAATATATATAGTGTGTTTTCCTTTAATACACACGTTCATTAGATAAACGTTATTATACGCATATTTAGTAATTTACAATATGAAACGTCTAATGCAACTGTTTATTTTAATTTAAAGACGCTTTAATTTACCTGGGAAGTGTAAACATTCAAGTACAGACAATCTTCTACTCCAGTGTAAGATCCTTTACTAACTGTATATTTCTGAATCTGAGGACAGAACATTTTATTGTCTGTAGTGTCTCTAACGCCTGACCAGAATTCCATTTCTTCTGGAGGCTAATAAAAAGAAAACAATAATTCGCTTTAAATTTCTAAGAAATCTGCAAAACATTTCAAATCACATAAAAGGCAGAATCATCTTTTCTTTAAAACACGAAACCTAACATTTAACTCACTGATCTTGGCTGGATATATTAATTAAACAATCATATTAATATTATTTTTAAATAATCACAAATTTATCATCTGCACCACAATCTATTTTATTTTATTATTATTATTAGTTTATTTATAATTTTTTTATTTTTTTTCGTATTTATATTTATCAGCGTGGCATCAACTAATAAAACTAAAACTTGAATACTGATGAGGCCCAATAAACTTAGTCAGTATTATATAATCCATTAGATTAATTCTATTCTATTCAAGATGAAATGTAAACATTACTATTTATAATAGTTTTACTGTTAATTTGTTTGTTCCTATATACATAATCCTGTTTTTTGCAATAATGTTTTTCTTGGTGAGCCAAACAATTTCACAAACTCAAACTTCATTTCATGGTGTTTGAATGTACTCAGATACTTTTAGTTAATCCACATTGTTATCGTAGGTTACACTGATACTACTCGCCATAGGTGCTCTAGTTACTGAGAGAACAAGCTGCATTCTACAGCTTCAAGACTTCAAAGAAGTTTGTCAATGTCTAGTAAATTAAATGTTGACATCATTCTAGGTACACGGCGTACAGAACGGTTAATTCACAAAAGTGGTTTTATCCTTCTTTTTTGACATTTGAAAAATTATTTCTTAATAAATTATGCGCTTGAACCCGCAACAGTAATCCTAGTAATATTTTTCTAAATTTAATATCTTGGTCCACATTAATCTCAGCCCTAAATTATTTTACTAATGTGTAAACATGTGGTGACACAGAGCGACTCTGGTTGGATAGTTAAGTACGTAATAAGTCAGAATGAAAATTCTTAAAAAACGGGTATCGCCTCATAATTGTTTTATGGGAGCTAGCTCTCAAGCCGCTTCAAGAGTTGTTATCAGGCTTAACGAACCACATTAACGTATAAATTACACTTGTCATAAGACATTAGTATTAAGCCTAATGTCTTTTGACAAGTATAATTATAATCATGCTTCACCACACATTCACTCCATAACATTAACTTACAGTTGTAATTATAAAAGTTTAAATGAAAAATAAATAGACTGCTTCGAGACTCGTGTTGATATTGTTGGAAAATAAAACATAATTGTTAAAAACATACTAGTAAAGTAAATAATACAGATTGTATATTGAGGGGAATCTGAGAAAAAAAGTGAATTAAAATACGCAGCATACACTGTATGAACACAACTTATCTATAATAGTAAAATTGTGACTTAAATATTTGTTTTATGACGTTCTGCAAATTTTGGATTAGGTATATAAATGTGGTGAAAACTCGTTTTCTATAAATTTTAATTTTGTTTAATATTAGCCACGTTTTAACTCTTAAATTACTTAGCTTTTTAGAAATCGTTAATAATGGATAGGTCTTCCATGGCACAGGTCTTTAACTCATCTCAGTACTCACTAATGGTTAGGTCTTCCACGGCACAGGTCTTTAACTCATCTCAATACTCACTAATGGTTAGGTCTTCCATTGCACAGGTCTTTAACTCATCTCAGTACTTACTAATAGTTAGGTCTTCCATGGCACAGGGTCTTTAACTCATCTCAGTACTCACTAATGGTTAGTTCTTCCACGGCACAGGTCTTCAACTCATCTCAATACTCACTAATGGTTAGGTCTTCCATGGCACTGGTCTTTAACTCATCTCAATACTCACTAATGGTTAGGTCTTCCATGGCACAGGTCTTTAACTCATCTCAATACTCACTAATGGTTAGGTCTTCCATGGCACAGGTCTTTAACTCATCTCAATACTCCTTAATGGTTAGGTCTTCCATGGCACAGGTCTGTAGCTCATATCAATACTCATTAATGGTTAGGTCTTCCATGGCACAGGTCTGTAGCTCATATCAATACTCATTAATGGTTAGATCTTCCATGGCACAGGTCTGTAGCTCATATCAATACTCACTAATGGTTAGGTCTTCCATGGCACAGGTCTGTAGCTCATATCAGTATCTCACTAATGGTTTGCGCATTCATGTCCTTCTATAGAATATTTGCTTAATTTTATTTGTATTTTAAAACCATTCTGTCTGTAAAATGATTAATTTATTCCTGGAAAACAGCTAAGCTTAACGGTTTGAAAATTAATCGTTACAATAAATTATAATGTACAACTTGTTTCATATGAAGGATATAGGTGCCAATACGACCTCTAATCTAAAAATTAAGTTATTTTGTTGAAAGTTGATCAGCCAGGTTGTAATGTTGTCGATACAATCAGATCGAGGTATATCGAATAATAACAACGCTGTAATTCTACAGAATTAAGAAAAATAGCTCAGGTAAGAAATAAAATATGGAAATTACCTTAAATCGAAGTTTGCCCACCGGCGGTTTAGCGTAAGGAATGCCAACGAAGGAATAGATGTCTCTGGAACTTAGAGATGCCCTTTTAACTTTCATTCCTCGAATTGTTCCCTTGCTAGTTTGAACAAGTTTTTCTTCCGCAGCACACAGTCGAGATAAAGGATAAAGGATCAAAAGAAAAACACCAGATAAAGAAATTGTACGCATTCTCAGACCTTCTAGAACGATCGGTCTCTCGTGACAAGTAATCTTCGGTGACTCTAAGGCTCCTTCTGTCTCAGAAATACCTCAACTTTATTTTCCTAAATAATGTTAGTTTTTCAACACTCTTGTGGCAGGGTGAACGTGTGTGTTTTTTATATATACTCTATCCTGGAAGTTGACTTCCGGTGAACATTGGACAAAGTTAAATATTGTCTAAACTAACGAGATAATACGCAATTGCTGGTTAAAAGGTTCTGAGGCAACGGAACTCAGACTACTCAAGAGGTCGTGACACTAACAGATAGGAAGGGTATCTAACAAGCATCGTCCAATCATCTGTCATTCCGCCTACATTCTCTTAGTGACTTTAGGAACGACGTTACTCGGGATACTCTGAAATATTTGCTAATGCAAGTTTTGTTAATACGTAGTGTTCTCCATAATATTTACTAAATTCAGTGCATAAAGCAAATAATAAAATGTGTCACTAAATCATTAACATGACGATAAGAATCTTAGGAATATCTCGCAACGTGATAAGTAACCAATTTTCACTGTACGTCACTACATATAGTAAAGAAGGTATAAATATAGGTGGAATCCTGTATTTATTGTGGATATTACACCGTTTCGTTTTCTAACTATTCTGGTATAGTCTACCAATATCAAATTATTTCTTGTTCTTAAGTTATTCAATCTCTATTTTCTGTCTGACATTCTAAGCTTAGTCCAACAACCAAAATATGGTTGCCTTACCCACGATCTTTATAAACTTGTAGTATCTACTGGCACTTCCAAGAAACATAACTCGTTAAAACCTTAGCGTTTGTTTTTCTTTCTATGTGATCCATCAACATTCTTTAATTTTACTGATTTTTTTAAATAATAAAATTAATTATCTATATAATGATGGTAACGAAATATGAACGAATAATTCGAATAGGTCAAAGAGATTTGTTTGTTTATATGTTAGCGCAAGCTACACAATGAGCCATCTGTGATATGCCCATCACAACTAACGAAACCTAAGTTGTATCATTACAAGCCCTCATACGTGCAGTTCAGTCATCGAGAACGGTTCGAAGGGAAGTTAAAGGCTGAACATACAACAAATATAAAAGTATATAGAAATTAAAAGATCGTTATTGTAATTGGTAACGATGATTTTTCACATTAACTTTTAACGGGCTTTGGTTACAAAAATGATAATGTTGTTGTTGTTTTCTTCTCGTTTTTCAATTATAATACTGAGTACTTTATTAAGAATACTGCTGGAAAAAAACACAATAATAAATTAGTCGTACGACGTTTATAGTTCTCATAATTTTGAAACAGTTCAGCGTCGGTCTGAAAAAAGCTTGATTTTTTCCTGATAACGGAAAAAGCCAGAAATACCAACACCATTGTTGCGAAGTGTTTGAGGCAGCCGCTTCGAAATATCTAATCACTAAACTCAGAGTTAAATTAGTAGTAGAGTAGATAAAATCTACGCCAATTAGCGAAGAAATATTGACGTCGGCTTGCATTGAAGTTCGTTCTATTTAGCAATTGGCTTTCAAGCAAAAATATTTTCGTAAACAAAAAAAAAGCAAAATGATTTCCTATTGTTATACATTCTTGGCACCTGACTGCAAAAACAAAACAAGTAACGGCTAAAATTGGTCGAAATATCTGGAACTTGTATGAGGGACAAACTGTATCCTATTAAGAAGATGTGTAGATTTATTTATTTATTTTCATTATAAGTAAACGTTATTTTCTGGCTTCAAACCATTATTATTATTCTGATTATACAAGCCAGTGGCTGCGGTGTGTATATAGTGTTGATAAGGCTGACTTCACTGTAGAATTGCGTAAGCCTAAATGATTGAGCAAACTCAAATGACTTAGGTCCTATTTCTCCCCCAAAGAGAATCAGAATATATACATAGTTGAAAAGTTTTACGTTGTCCAAATGTTGCGCTTGTCCCTAAGCCCTGTAGTTTTTTTTACTAACGAAACCTTGTCGAAACGTTGTACATTTGCTGTCATGTTAAACTTATATTAAAGTTTTTCTTCATTACCCATTTAAGCCGTCTCCAGCCATTATTAGTCTCAAAGTGGGTTCCTCGTCATCGAAATTGTTCTTATTGACTCTATGGGTAGTGATGTACGCGTATTATCTGTAAAGTTAACTTCTAAAGTAAAATTAAATATTTTCTATTATTTACTGTACAAGAATATTCTAAACATTGATCTCATTTAAAGATTTTAATGTTGTTCGTTGTGTTGGAATATTCTAAACACTGAATTGTTTTAAAGATTTTGATGTTGTTCGTTGTGTTGGAATATTCTAAACACTACTTTATTTAAGAGATTTTGATGTTGTTCGTTGTGTTGGAATATTCTGAACACTGAATTGTTTTAAAGATTTTGATGTTGTTCGTTGTGTTGGAATATTCTAAACACTGTTTTATTTTAAAGATTTTGATGTTATTCGTATTGTGTGGAAAATTCTAAACATTGATTTATTTTAAAGATTTGATGTTGTTCGTTGTGTTGGAAAATTCTAAACACTAATTTATTTAAGAGATTTTGATGTTGTTCGTTGTGTTGGAAGATTCTAAACACTGAATTGTTTCAAAGATTTTGATGTTGTTCGTTGTGTTGGAAAATTCTAAACACTGATTTGTTTTAACTCAGTTCGTAAAATTGTTCTGTGTATAGCTAAGTCGTAGCTGTTTCAATGTACCCAAAATGTAACTTTCGATAAAAAGAAAGATAAATATTTTACATGTTTTGATCTTAAGGTAAATACATGCATATATGAATAAGCATATATGAAGCTACTAGCGACGGTTGAATACTTAATGATATATATAATACAATAGCGTTTTGTTTCTTGGTCACGAGATAAAAATACAACCTTGTGTATCTGAGAATTTTGGGAAGTTTGGCGTTTTGCCCAACCTCAATATTGTTTAGTCACAAGATACGCGATAACACTAGTGTTTAATCTACAAAGTGATAGTTTTATACACACACACGTGTTCACCATTAACTGTACCGGAAATTGCTGAGTAAGTGATTTTGAAATAACTCGTAAAGTATTGTTTAGTTTGGGCTGTTTTTATAAAAATAATACCATTTCTTTAAATGGCTCTATGAATATGTTATGTATATATTGATTAACATTACGAAATAAATACGCGTATTAAGATAAGGCTTATATCGTATTTGAATTGTGTGTTTTATATTGAAATCTTATAAATATACAAAGCAAATATATTTCTTCTTTATAATTCTCTTTTCAAGATTCCTTAATAACTCAAACTGCATCCGTTCCGTATTTTCAGATAATTATTGCATGTAAGCTGTTTTCTTAAATTACCCGTGACTTGTTAAATTAGGATTTACTGGTAATAGAACAGGTGTGTCTTTTAAGAAAAAAATACCGTAGTCGATATTGAATATTTCTAGGCAGAAGAATAAAATATTGGAAGCGGAATGGCTGCACAACTGCTATCATTTATGGAATGTGGGGGCTAGTCCCTCTGTGTATTTGTATGTGTGGAGGGGAAATAACAAGTGTTTCGTTTCAAGAGCTCTTTGGTTGACACTGAGTTTGCGGTTTGTTAATGAATACGTTGTGTTGTTCAGTACGTGTGACATATTACTACGTGCAAATTAACACATCACGAAATACACATTTTTTCAGTACAGGTATTGTGGTTATCTGTAAATGGAGTTGAAAAACAAGTGTCAGTGTTTCAAAGAAATTTTGAGTACATTTCTTTATGTCCCACATTAAGAAAACTGTTGTGCAGTATGACAAAGGTCGATGTACTAGCGTTAATAAGGTTAGTACAGGGTGGGTGATTGTGGCATGTTAATAAACTGTGGTGCATTTTGGTACACCAGGTTAATATTGACTGTGGTTGTGGCATGTCAATAAACTGTTGGTGCAGTTTGGTACACCAGGTTAATATTGACTGTGGTTGTGGTATATTAATAAACTGTTGGTGCAGTTTGGTACACCAGGTTAATATTGACTGTGGTTGTGGCATGTTAATAAACTGTTGGTGCATTTTGGTACACCAGGTTAATATTGACTGTGGTTGTGGCATCTTAATAAACTGTTGGTGCAGTTTGGTACACCAGGTTAATATTGACTGTGGTTGTGGCATGTTAATAAACTGTTGGTGCATTTTGGTACCCCAGGTTAATATTGACTGTGGTTGTGGCATGTTAAAAAAAACGTTTAATTCTTGATACATAAAGTTACCACTGTCTGTAGGTGTGGCATGTTAAGAAAAATATTGCTGTTTGGTTTATATGATTACTGTGTTTCGTGTGCTTGGCATGTCAAGGAAAACACATTACGCTAACTGTGACGTGTTTTTCTTTCTTTATATTGATGATGAAAATAATATTTTGAAACTAGTAATAATCCTCTAGTATTACTAGTCCAGACATAACGAACCTTTACAACATGTAAATAATACAACGGACAAGAAGTTTCACTAATCAACATGTTTAATCTGGATATCACATTTGGTTTTCAATGAACCAGTTGACATACTCCAGCAAGCTTCGTTTAGCAAGAAACTTGAAAGAAAATGGAGAAATAACTTAAATATTACTATACAGTTTTGTTAATCATCCTTAAGTAATATCACAAAGAACACTTAAACCTGTTTAATAATGTTTACAATGGAAAATACTTCTGGATATACAGTTAAGAGAGTCTGCTTTCTAACTCAAATGAAGAGAACATTTTTTTAAGTTCGTTCTGAGAACAACGAGTATATAATAAATATTCTGAATAATAACAATAAGATATAGTACATGGTTCTTTTTGCAGTCAAACACTTTGGTCATTCGATATCTACGATGGTATATACACAGGTATAGAGAATAAGTGAGAAGATCAAAAGTTGATATATATTACTAGAAAATTGTGATAACACTCTAATGTAGAAAGTATGATAACTTCTCAACGTTTGTAAACTATTTTGTAATCCCGATAATTAGAAATGTGTTTTGGTAACATAGCAAAATAAAAAAATAGTTAAATCTTCTAAACCTCTGTTTTCATAATTTAGTGCCAATATCTTCAACTTCTTAAGTAAAATTATTTTCTGGCCAATTTATTGTTTAAAAGAGGATACTAC